CTAAAAAGAAAGCGACGTATTATATACGGTTTGGTCACTCGTTATGGTCCGCGAACCAGTTGCCAATGCAAGAGGTTAACTTCTTGCGCTGGAATGGAATAACGAGAATTTTTTGCCCCAAAATTGCAATATTTCCTCAGTTTTAAATATATTTAAATATAACTCAGGCGAAACAAATAATAAACTTATCACTAATTATTAATTTCTAGCCAGCGATATTATTTTTCGAACGAGTCCAAAAAGAAAGCGACATATTGTATACGGTTTGGTCACTCGTTATGGTCCGCGAACTAGTTGCCAGCGCAACTGGTTAATTCTTAAAATAATAAACTAATATATATATATATATTTATCATAAACTAAACGTGGATTTAAAATGTCTTTTCCACGATTATGTGCAAGTTTGTCGATCGTTTGAACCGATCGAAAGAAAATCGGAAGATATGGCAAACCGTGAGAATGTATCGATCGAAACGATTATTTGTCTCATCTTATCTTGATCTGTCTGTCAAGGGTGCATAATATTCGGCTCGGATCAAGAAGTGGCCGGTGTGATGAGAGCGGTCCGACGTTGCAACGCGACCGGCGCCTTCTCGTGGATCGGGAGCGACGGATGGAGCGCCAGGGGCTTGGTTAGTAATGGCAACGAGCCGGAAGTGGAAGGTACCCTATCGGTTCAACCTCAAGCGAATCCTGTCAATGGTTTCGAGGAATACTTCCTGAATCTGACCGTCGAGAACAACCGGAGGAATCCGTGGTTCGTTGGTAAGCGAAACGGCCGAGACACGCGAGGTCTTCGTCAAACTTCCCCAATTCTAAACTTCCGCGAGCGCTGCGGATTTTAGGTTGCTGCGTGATTCGTCTAGAACTCGCAACTTGTTCAGCCGATTAACAGAATATACGAAATAATGACAGTGGACACCTCGTTCGAGCTGATCTTTTTCTCTCTTTTTTTCTTTTTTTTTTTTTTCTTATCATTTTACGAAACTCGCGCGTGTTCGAGTATCACTCGCTCCTCAACTCGCGATCGGAATGTTTCAACAGAAGGAAAGATTACGACGTGTCGTAGTGCAGTGTGTCGTGAATGATTTTAGAATTCTGGGAAGACCACTTTCAATGTAGATACCCGAACGCATCCGTAACCCCGTACAATCAAAAGTACAAGAAACCATGCACGACGAAAGAGCGTCTGACGAAACAGAACACGGTGTTCGAGGATCAGCTGCAATTCGTCTCCGACGCTGTCATGGCCTTCGGCTACGCCTTTCGGTAACTCGATCATTCCTCTATCTTTTCGACGAGTCCCACGGGACGAATCTTTCACCTCGAGACATGTGTTCCCAGAGATATGCACAGGGACCTCTGCGACGGTAAACCTGGACTCTGCGAAACGATGAAGCCTAACAAGGGTACGGAGCTGTTGAAGTACCTTCGAAAGGTGAATTTCAAAGGTAAGATGAAATTCTCCAGATCCTCTCCGCAATTGTCCTTCCGCGGAGCAAGGAACAGGCTCTTCATTGGCACGATTTCGTTCAAGGTCTGAGCGGCGACCAGTTCGAGTTCGATCAGAACGGCGACGGCCCGGCGCGGTACAACATCATACACTTCAAACAAATCGAGCCCGGCAAGTACAAGTGGGTGCGGGTCGGCGAATACGTTAACGGTGAATTAAACTGGAATAAGACCGGTAAGCCACGGTGATTGGCCGTTTCGCCAATCCCCCGTCTTCCTCGTAACGTCTTCTTCTCGCTGTGCGAAATTGAACGAGGGCTAGTCCTCCCCCCCTCTCTCTCTCTCTCTCTCTCTCTCTCTCGCTACCTATTCGCATATTCCTTGCAGAAATCCAATTTAAACTTGGACATCCTCAGCCGCCCGAAAGCGTGTGCTCTCTACCCTGCGAGGTCGGCCAGGCAAAGAAATACGTCGAGGGCGAGAAATGCTGTTGGCACTGCTTCAACTGCACTCAATATCAGGTTTGTCAGCTCGATATTTAGCCTATCCGCTATACGTATCTTACGAACGACACACATATATCGGTTTCGCTTCTTTCGCCGAATATCACGTGCCACACGTGCATACAATAGTAAAGTTTCATTTCCTCGAAATGAAAGAGTTCTTCTGCCAGGTACTACTCGTCGAAGATATACGTTTCGCATATAAATACGTGGACAGTATTGCACGTTCGATAAAACGATCCTCTTTCCAAATATTACTTTCTCTTCTCGATCGACGATCGAATAAACGGCTAGTATATCTTCCCAGTCCACCAGTCGTGGACTCAGAGGAAGCACGCCAACTGACGTCAACTGGCGGCCTTTGGTTTAGAATAAACTTTCTCTTTAAGCGGTTTCTCTCCGAAGAAACGAGAGTAAAATATACATAGCAGGCAACCTGCTGCCTTGGGCAGTTTTTCCGTGAGATTTCCGTGTATCTGTGTTAAACAGATACGACATCCGAGGGACGAGACCCAATGTACACCATGTCGTCAAGGAACGGTGCCAGACGACACGCATTCCGCTTGCCGCGACATCCCCGAGGAGTTCTTGCGTCCGGAGAGCGGCTGGGCGATAGGTGCAATGGCTTTCTCCGCCACGGGGATTCTGGTAAGTGTGTAACACCATCGAAAGAGAATTATATAATTATAGAATGGGAAGGGACGTGGGCGAGCAGTTTGCAAAGAGCATCGAAAGGAACGTTGAATTTTATACACGATATCGATCTGTGCGGGGTGAAACGAGGCAAAGGTTGCCCGATAAAGATCGCTTGTTCTACGAACAGCCGTTACACGCTGCAATCTAAAGATCATTCGATGAAATCACGATCGAAATAATCATTGGCCGACTGCTCTCGACCGCGTGATATATGTAATTTTGACCACCGTGTACAACCGTAGGCTGAATTATCGACCCCGACTTTTTTAACCCCCCTAGTTATTGCTCGTTAAATATCAAAATGTCAGCACGAGATTGCATCTTAAAAATTCAAGTTCTCCCATTGTACGAAATGAAAACGACGATGCCGGACTTCGTGTGTATAGTTAGAGTGTCATGCTCAGAGTTTGTCGCGTCATTACGAAGAAACCATCCACGAGCCAGATAAATTTTGACTGCAGACAAATCTTTCACGTTTCTTCTCTTGTTCTGTCTTCGCTTTGTTCTTCCTCTTCGAAAGGAAAATTAGAAAACAAGGCATCTGGCATCTGTGTTCATCTCGCCGTTTCCAAACCAATGGAAACTGTTTCTCTCTGTCAAACAGATAACGCTGTTCGTCTGCGGAGTGTTTCTGAAGCACAACGACACGCCGGTTGTTCGCGCGTCTGGTCGCGAGCTGTCCTACGTTCTACTGTCTGGGATTCTGCTCTGTTATCTCGTCACTTTCGCCCTCGTTCTCAGACCGACGGACGTTGTTTGCGGCATTCAAAGGTAAGGGATCGATGAATTCAGTGGAACACGATGGCCCGCTTTCTTCTCGAAGAAGAAGAGACTGTGGTGGCCGGCGAAAAAAATAATTCAATCCCCACGCAGAGAGAGAGAGAGAGAGAGAGAGTGAGAGAGAGTGAATCGGTGAGTCAGAGTAAGAGTAAATTGACATATACCCCTCCCCCCGGAGAGGAACACGATGAAGCTGATAAATTTCCAAAGGACGAAATTTCATCGGCGAAAGTGAATTACGCGCGACACGATTGCGATTGGGGGATCAAAAGAAGAATGTAAAGCAGATCGGTGAATCCAGTCAGCGAGTCAAAGTTACACCTGCTCCCAATTTTCGTCGAAACTCGTTTTCGCACTCTCCGATCTTGTCCCTTTTCAAGGGAACTTCAAACAACCTCGACAAAAATACTTCAACGTGAGAGGAAACATGTACTCGAAAGTCTCTTTTTCCTCGTCTAAATCTACTGATGAAACCCGATGAAAAGTTACAACGAGCAAGACTGTACACACGTAAAGTACAAAATAAATTTCATGACCTCGTTGCAATCACTATTCTGGCAAATGTAAGTTGTTGGAGCCAGTTTTCCAGAAAATGGAATTATTTCTATGATTTATTAGTAGGATTTTGACCAATTTAAACGAAAAATTATCGATACTTTTATACTGTTGTAAAAAAACATCGTATCGCGTGAAAAAGTGTCCTTTCCTTTGATTTTTAAAACTTATGCAAAGACACTGAAGAATTTTATTTCTGACTAAATCCATCCGCGGTCTTGAAGATTAAAGTTTCCCATTTACAACAACTTCTCGTCATTTTATTGGACGGGATTCAAAGAATCTCAACATAAAAAAAAAATTTAAAGGGTATAGTTCTAAGGAAAGAAAATTTCAATGTTCGAAACTTTTCAACGTCACTTGACGGATGTTTTTGAGTTTGTAGAGTTTATTCAGAATAAAGGTGCTCTAGATAATAGAAATTAGAAGCTTTACGCTTCTCAAAATGAGATTCTCACGTGACAACAACAGGTCAAAGTATCGACAATTTCTCATCGTGATGAAAGAGCGTTTAGTTACGGGTCTTCGCGATAAATTTCTATCTCGGCCACTAATTGTTCCACAGATTCACCGCAGGTTTCTGTTTCACCGTGGTCTACGCGGCGCTCCTAACCAAGACAAATCGGATATCGAGGATCTTCAACGCGAGCAAGCACAGCGCGAAGAGGCCCTCCTTCATATCACCGCGATCGCAGCTAATCATCTGCTTCGGTTTGGTGTTCGTGCAAATTTTAATTAACGGCCTCTGGATGATAATCGATCCGGCCAAGGCGATGCACCACTATCCAACCCGTGAGGACAATTTGCTCGTTTGCAACAGTTACGTTGACGCCAGTTACATGATCGCTTTTGCATACCCCATCATGCTGATAGTCGTTTGCACCGTGTACGCTGTCCTCACGAGAAAGATCCCAGAAGCTTTCAACGAGAGCAAACACATTGGTGAGTACGTGTACAACCTTTGAACTGCCAAACTTGTGCCCGACTATGTCGCAGTTTCGATTCAGAAGGCGAAGAGAAATATTGGAAAAACATTCACCGTTCAACAAATGAATGTTTTTAACGCCTTTTCTTTCCTTCGGACTCATGTAACATCCTTAAACCCGAGAGTAGGTCGAATTATGCACGAGTTCGTTTTGTAGAAACATTTTTATCAACAGCGCAGGCGCGACGAAATTCAGATCCGAACAGCTTTAACACAAGCAAGTTGGGACATAACTCAAGCACAGGGGTTCGAACAATAATTCTGCAGCTAAAGCTGAACTTCCGTTAAGTCATAAACCCGAGCCACTCTTTGCAAGACGCTGTTGAATGCAAGCAGAATCCTGAGACATTAATGAGAATAGTTGCGGCCGGATCTGTGCAGGGAACACTGCTCGTATTCTTAACCTTTTGTCCGCGAAAGTACAATAAGCTGCGAGCAGCAGCGTAATAATAAATACGTCGGTAAATAGGGATTGCAATTGTGCAGGTTTCACCATGTACACCACGTGTGTGATATGGTTGGCTTTCGTGCCGCTGTACTTTGGAACTGGAAACAACGTCGCACTGAGGATCACCTCGATGTCAGTCACCATAAGCTTGTCCGCCTCCGTAACTATAGTCTGCCTCTTCAGTCCTAAGGTAAGCGAATTTCTATATACATTAAGACGGCAGATTTACGACGATGAGCAACAGTAACCGGCTGTGAACTTCTTCGCTACTCCCCGAAACAGTTGTACATCATTCTAATACGGCCGGAAAGGAACGTGCGTCAGAGTATGATGCCAACTAAGTATAGCACGACGAAAAGCTCGGCGGTCACGGCTACCAATGCCTCTAGCATGATAGCGCCAGTCACGCTGACCGCGGCTACCTGCGATCAGAACAAGGCTGTGAAGAAACACATTGCCACCACCATAGACTGCTCGACCCAAAGCGAATGTGAGTATCATTTCACTTGGAAATATTGTTAGGACCAAGGGTGCGTATCGCTTGTGACATGCAGATGCTAAGCGTGGGAACGTCCAAACCATCTTTGTATTTACAGTCACAAAGCGTACTAAGACTAAGATTAAACGTAAGAAACGAGATTTCGATCGGAAAATTTGGGAATTTTTTTATCACACTCGAAAGGAAGGACTCGGAGGACATTTATTATGAATCCAGGCCGTAGGATCATTGGATTTGCTACCTCGCCCGAAGGGCATACGCAAGAATAAAATCTTTACCACCCTTCACCAAACACCTTACAGAGGGGGGGAGGGCGGAAACAATTAGGCGTCGTATCGAGCCTATACGGGATCGAAGGACCACGCAAGACTCTGTGTCGGCTGTAAGGATGTTTGCTCGTGTTATACTCTTCCTCGAGCGAGAATTTAGATCCCACCCGGATCTGATGGAGTCGCCTCATACGACACGCAGAGAATACGTCCCGGACCAACAGGGACATCTATTAGTCGCCTCTTACGACACGCAGATTGTACGTCGGGGTTATTCTAAGGGTCACATCCCGCAGGCCGAGGACTCGGACGACAGTTAGTTAGTCACAAATAGTTATCCATTACAATCAATCACTTGAGAGTATTCAACATTTAGTCATCTTTCTTTGACATTTGCCCAAGCAAGAAGTGCATTGGAGCCACCAAGCTCGATAGTCAATAAAGTCAAGAAATT